TTCTTAAACACCTGCTTGATGACAACGTGAGTGTTTGTATATAATCAACAAAAATGGACGACGAACATTTGATAGAATTTTCCTTTTTAATTAAAAAAATTAAATGTAACATCAGTAAATAAAGAGTTGGAAAACTGACTGCAACCAATTGATTTGCAGGTTGATTGATAAGTGCAATTGAGACTGAACTGTGATTGTATCATGATAACATAAATTTCCGAATAATATCCAAACAGAGCGATTTAAATTTAAAACACGTATAACAATCATGTTGGTAATGACTTGTCATTTGACCAATTTAAAACAATCGCTGTCACCAATGCAGGGATAAAACGAAATATAGCTGTATATAATATAGATATTGATTTATTTTTGATCAATTTTATAACGACTAAAAGGGTGGTAAGGGTAAATAAATAAAAGACTGAAGTTTTAACATTTACATTTATTCATTATTCTATATTCTACAGGTTTATATATACAATTAATCCTGGGTTCTATGTCTTGGCAGTCCTGGCTATGTTTGATCAATTTTATAGTGACCAAGCGCAAGAGTATTGATGCCATCTTCTAGAATAAACCTCTTGTCATCGTCAAACGATAGTACTTTCTTGTTCATGGTTAAGGTTTGAAGATGATGATTTGTAGATTTAATTCTTGTCACATTCTCATAGTAATCTTGCCCAGTTGCAAGACAGTTCAAATAATGTTGATGTCTAAGGAGATGTTTAACTGTAGCACCATCAGCTCCTTTAGCTTTCTTCACCTCTAAAGCTTGCTTGTCTTCTTCATATAACCATTTTAGAGGAATATAAGAATATAGTTTTGGTCTTAAACCACAATATTCATACATAATATGACCATCTAATTCGTCTTTGAACTTGCCTGTGACTTTTTTATTTTTATCAGAGTATAAGAAATGGTCTTTACTATATCCAGAGGTATCAAAAAAGTGCAAGTCACATTCTATTTCCTTGTAAAAGTCCTCTGTAACTATAGAATACATTAAAGAATCTGTATCTGTCATAAGAAATCTTTTGTTCTTAAATTTTGACATATAATTATAGTGGAAATCATACATTATTACTTTACTAATATCCAAAATGGTCATTCCCAAATATATCGGCTTATTAAACTTTACAACTAATTTATTTAAATGTATAGCATGTAAATTGTTATCGAACTTTTTGCTACAGTCAAACCTTGGATTAGTGACATATTTTGTTAATAGTGACTCATCCTTGAGATATATATCACGAAACTTGCGTTGGTTCATAATTGTTCGACCAAAGAGACTATTATTTAACAATTTGTAAAAGTCTTTTTCAAAATCATTTTTAGCACATTTGCGTTTTTCAATATTAAAATTAATATAGGGTGCAAGCCATTTTGATTGTCTAAATTTTAAAATTCTATAGTATTTTGTAGCAACCAAACCTAATTCCTCATATTTTTGTAATGCTTTATAATGTAAAATATATTTAGTTTTGTCATTTAAATTAGGTATTAATTTGCCATTCATTTTCTCAGGTGCTAATGGATAGTCATTATGTAAATCATGTAAGCTTTTATCGTATTTTAAATCAACTTCTAAGATATATCCAAACTCATCATTTTGATTGTTTTTGTAGTCTATCTCATTCGTCCAACGAAATCCATCCACGGGTAGTGTCTCACACATAGCTGTGGAGTATAGCGAGTTACAATCTAAATATATTAAATACACACTTTCTTGATTGGGATCATAATGTTTGCCCATATATCTACTATTGGCTTTAGCGTAACGTGTAGAAATCATACTGACTCCTCCTCTGATTGCACTTTCTATGAACAAATGCATGTCAATATCTTGAAATAATTGTAATTTTATACCAGTCATTCTAAGACAAGCTTCCCATGTTAGTCCTGGAAGTGAATACATATGTACGGGGTCAAGTTTGTAATCCTTTAAACACAGGTCTCTAAATGTCTCAAACACATCAGCCAGTAGCAATACATCTGTTTTAAGATATAAATCATGATATTCTTGTAAATTATGTATATTAAAATGGGTCCAGACATTTTTAGCATGTTCATATTCAATGGGAGAGATATGTTCTTTAGTTAGAGTACTGTAAAATTTTTCAATTGGAGGTAGAGACTCTGCAAACTTATCTGGTCCCGTCATGTATTCATAGGGAAATACACCTTTACGTTGTAGTAGTGGATTGTCTATGAATCTAAATGTATTTAAATTGGAAGCTAATTTGTATAATGGAAGGGGCAGAAAGTTATAGGAATCCAAAAATACTAAATCATCAACTGAAAATGAAATGTACTTTTCCATATCCTTGGCTATGCAATTTAATTTACGATTAAACTTTCCCAAGTGTTGCATTATTAAATGTCCATCATAATTTTTCAAGTTATGGAAGAATACTGGTATTTTCTTTGTTATTTTATAGTTTAAATTACAATCATTATGGGCAGCTCCACGGTATCGGCCAGATGAATGACAATGATCACGTACCCTATCAAAATATAGGGGCTTTTCACAAATGTGACAATGCGTTGAGTTTTGGAAAGATGCCTCTTGTTCAGGAGTCATTACAAGAGGAATATATATCGCCATTTGACTTTTAATGAAGTCATAAGTCTCAAACAACCTTTTGAAAAACACGTCCATAACATTTTCGCCACTGTATAACTCTTCAGAAATAATCTTAGAATCTCTCACTACAACAAATGCAAATCCAGATGGAGTATGATTGTTTGAGTTTATAAAACATTCAAAATCTGCATAAATCACAAATGGGGCTTTAAGTTGATATTTATAGTTTTTAAATTGTAATGTATCTTGTTTAGACATTTCCACTCGTTGGGCATCAAAGTTTTTACAATATGTTATATGACGCTCCAATTTATCATTAGTGTAAAAATGTTGTAAACACAGCTTACAAAAATGCTTCTTATGGTCGTGTTTTGTAGACCGCAGCATTAACCTATTAAAATCACGAATTAAACAATAATGTGATTTACGACCTTCTTGTAATAATAATAAATCTACATGAGTATTACTATTCAGTTTAGTTGTTTTTAATGGATATATACATGTATCATCTTCAACCCCAAATACATTAACACTTATATTATTTTGTTTTTCAAATTTATCTATATCAGCTAATTTCACAGGATACTTTATGTTTGACATATTCAGCTGACTTTCATGTGGTACATAATTGGAGACTCTATTAGCATTTTCATTAGAGTTCCTTGGATATAAAGCTGCTAATACCGACCAAAGAAAGCATTTATTATCATCATTTTTTATATTTAAAACTGCATGTTTCGATTTAATACTCTCTGGTGTAGGTATATATGACTTTGGAGTTAGGGGCTTATACTTGTAAACATGTAACTGCCAATATTTAGTATGGTCATATATCCATCCACTACCTTCCGCTTGATATTTGTGCATGGAAGCGTCAATCTTTAAAAGTGCATTTTCAATTTGAGGCTTTAAATCTCTCTTCTCAATAGTTAAGGTAGTAAGGCTTCTAAAATCTGCAATACATTCTTTTTCATTGACTAATTGTCCATTTTGATCCATTGAATATTTTATAAATTTGATTCTCCTTACTAAAGTCCATTTTATCGGCAGAGGACAAGACTGAAGAGTATTTTTAAGGTCAGCTCTAATCGATTCACCGACAAATTTAATCATTGTATATGGACATTTGATACAAGAATTGGCGTGTCTTTTAAAATGTCCAACAACATTCGTTTTACAGAAATTACAAGTCTTGTGATTTTGTAATATATGTGATTTTAAAGCCGCGTTATTATCACAGATTAAATTGCAAACTTTACACAGTTTCACCTTCATTTGATGAATTACCTTGTAGTGGCGAATGAGGTTACTTTTGGTGGAGAGCGACACGGAGCAGTGTTGACAGGTGGGCCTCATGGTCCAGAATGAAATATCACCCGAATGTCACTTCTATTTATAGATTTTTCGAAAATTTAAAAAAATTTTAACCAGAAATTGTGAAATTTTCAAAATTTTTAGCTAGAAATTAAAAAAATTTAAACAATTTAACTAGAAATTACTTCAACAGGAGGTCACCCACCCAAGGCTTAATCAAGAGCTACCACTAGAGACGAGAAAACTGACCATGAGTCGGGAGCGAGAAGCCTGACCATAGGTCGGGAGCATGACCGGGAGCATGCCATGAGCCGATTTCGCGTACAAACCTCGCACTGTTAAGTTGATGATTTTGTGAATATACATGCGAATGGATGTGGGTTTGAAATAGTAATGTAGTTGTACAATGGTATTGAACATTAATATAGGCTTGTATTGGTCGAGAGCAGGATTTTTGGAATTAGTGGCTAAAAAAAGCTCACCATTTCCAGACATGTTTTTCAGTATTAAAAAAGTAGACAATTTATATAGGGGTGTATAGGTCGAGAGCTGGGTCTTTAAAAAAAGTGGCCAAAAAAAGCTCTTCCATTTTTTTCTCATTTTTCCCCTATAAAAAGTGCCCTAAAAGTGCCTCTAAAACGCCGAAAGTGGGGTCATATTCTGGGTTCACCACTACTCTAAATTTACACTTGTAAGGGTCAATAAATATAAGAAATAGCTTTTTTAGCTTAATATCAAATATATTTATGGGGAATAAGTAAGAAATAAGGTTCGACAATTATATAGGGATATTTAGGCAAAGATCAGAGTTTTTGGTTTTGGTGGCCAAAAAATGATCCCCATGTTATTCTTATGGGGAAAACGTGCCTAAAGTGATGGCTCTTTGCCCTATTGCCTCTACTTATACATATTCTCGACCATTTAAAATACTCGATAAATCTCGCACTTTTAACATGGTCTCAAATATCTAATGACTCACTTTCTACTCTTGTTATGAAATATACTATTTTACATTGCATGACTTTTACAAGCTTATCCTAGTGCTTTATTTATAGGGTGGGATTTGTAGTTCTAATGTGAAACTTGATCTTTACACGTTTCTATGATATTATTTCCTCGAGAATTCAGCAAGAAAATTTTTATTTTCGACATTGCGCTTTTGATGCTGGATGTGAAAATTAAACCAGGAGAATTCATTATGCCAGTCTGTCATGGATTTTTAGATGGTTCAAACTACATAAAAGACAAGAATTTGTTTGTAAGTACAGTAGAAATTAAGGTATACAGTATTTGATACTATCAACCAATTGATAAATCATTCTTTATTGTGACAAGTAATAAAACACCATTGCAATGTAAACTCTGGGCTTCTTCCTGTGCACGATGAGTTCTCACTGGCTGCATAGCATAGATGATCATGCAGATTGTAGTCACATTAAAATTAATCATACTTCTTAATCTGTTTTAGGAATTATTACATCTATTTAAGGAAATTTTACTTATAGCAGGAACGGTACAAGCTTTGATACGTCAAAATTATAGCCAGTTTTAAATATTTATTTTAGCTTTTATACAGGGGTAAACCAAAATACTTATTTTGGTCAAGCCATCAGCAATACTTTGTCATCAAAGAGTCCCTCCTATTTTCTTCACACAGTCCTTACCGTAAAAATATAATCTTTAAGGCCAGGGACACACTTACCGGCGAAACCGCCGGACGCCGGATCCGGAGAAAGTTGAGATACACAGGAAGGCATGGGGAAGGCCATACTTCTCCGGTTCGGCGAAACCGCCGGTCGGGCGGGAAAATGCTCCGGCGAAACCACCGGATATTCTCTACTTCGCCGGACCGCCGGATCGGTGGTTTCGCCGGCCCAGCGGGTAGCGGGGCATTGTGCTTTATGGAGATGAACACACATACCGGCGAAACAGCCGGAACTGCCCCTGCCCCCACTCCTCAGTCGTGGTTCAACCCTCTAGGGTGGTGGTTGTTTTTTATTTTAACGCAGTGTCCAAGTGGTGTATTTAGTTTTGTTTTGCTATTTAGTTAATTTAGTTTTTATTTTTAGTCTGTTTAGTTTTAGCGAATTTCCCTATAGGGAAGTAGCTATTACCGTAGGTGGCACGGCAAGACCTAGACCCGGGACCGATTTACTTTTTCATTTTGATGTCCCCAGAGGCCAAAAACACAATTCGTTAAAATTTTTATATATGTATATATATATATATACGGTATATATATATATATACATACGTCCGTGAACGCGATAACTTGAGTAATTTTTGTCCGATTTTGATGACATTTGGTTTAAAGGTGTAAAGCGGGATAAACTTAAATGAGTTTGCGAACCAGCACGATCGGACCATGAGAACGGGGCTTAACGGGGGGTTTTATGGGGTAAAAATTGGTTTTTCTCACTTTTGACCCTCAAAACACAAAATTTCCCGATTTCTCTTTAGACCTTTTTAAAGAGCTTAAAAAAAACAAATAATTTAGTATATAAAAGTATTTTTGTTCGATTATTAGTAACGGAGAAAATAAAAAAAAATGTAAATTTAAAATTCCCATGTTATTCTTATGGAGAATATTGTCAAATGTTGTAGTTTGCTTGTTTATGGATATATTTTTATCAAACTTGGCAAATTTATTTATTTTGTACTAAGCTATCAATATTTTACTCAAAAACACACTTTATTAGTTTCCTTGTAGCAGCAAACCTAGGTACTCGTTAAACCTAATGTTATTAAAATAGATTTAACTGAAAATCAATTCAGACAAATGGAAATTCGCTTAGTCGGCAGGTTTGCTGCGGCGGGGGTATTCTATATCATCATGGTCGATGTTGATATGGATTTTGTTCCGTATTCAAGCATCTACGCAACCTAGGTGAATCCAGACTTCATTCATATTTTGTTCTGACCCTTGCCCTGTCACGTGATGTCTGGCAATTCCCCCCATTCCCCATGTACTCTTCAACCCGGCATCATGTTCTCGCCATTTTCCCTAGTTTTTTATTATAATATTCCCCTACTCTATTTGTGGCATATAAATTGAACTTATACTATCGTATGTTTATCTTATGTATTTATTTGTGACACACCTAACAAAAAAGTGAACTGTGAAAAGTTAAAAACTGTATTCAAACTGTTCTTGGTGCGACTACCGGTCGCGTACGCGAAAGCTGGCCAGCAAACATCAAGTGCGTCAACGGTCTACTAGACATCACTTCAGTAAAAAGGAAGGTACCAATTCATATTTCTTCCTATTTAAAAGTTTATTTTTTTGTGCTCACAGTGTGTCTCTAAAACTGATCTTAATATAATATATCTCACTCCTTTTTTATACAGTCCACCATATCGAAGTTTACCCCCCAGATTTATTTATTAGTTTGGTTCATGAGAAACCAGATCTTTGGGATGGATGTTTGGAGATTTACAAAGACAAAAACAAAACGAGGAACAGCTGGAGGCAAATTTGTGCTGCATCTCTTGTGGATAAATACAGTGTCTCATGTACGTGTCTTGTCCTTGTATTTACACTCTAATCTTCGATAATAACTCGTCAAATGAGGGTAAAGACATTCGAAAATAATTAAAAAACTGGTTTTCGTCAATCCTCAACTGTAAAAATAGAGTATAAAATGCTCCACGGAGCTGTCTGTTCTCCAGAATCGGATGAACCCAAATACTTCGGCGGTGTTTTTTCTTCCTTCTGTGGTGGATCAAACACAGCACGGCCAACTTTTGAGGTCTTGACAACACCGTTCCTAAGACACAACTGATTCAGAGTTCATTGCACTCTATTTATTGTCGCCGGCTCCGGCAAAACAGTTTTCGCCGGGACAAGTGTGTTCTGACCCTCAACCTCTGGCGATTCCACCGGATCCGGCGTCCGGCGATTTCGCCGGTAAGTGTGTCCCAACTGTTGATAAAACATCATTTTATAGTGTTTATCCTTTAAAACTTCATACTAATGGACTTAAGGTATTTTTTTTTTTGCTACACTAAACCTTGTATTCATTTAAGCATTTTATCGAATAATACAGGGTATCCATAAAATAACTGAAAAATGTTAAAGGCAAATACTGATTCAAAATAAGAGACTATGTTTAATGTATTATATATGTGTTTAAAGCTAAACTTCTCAAGTTTTATTGGAAACTTAGTAGAACTCGATATGAGCACCATTAGTGGCCCGGCATAAATCTAAGCGAAATTTGACCTCTTCTCAGGTTTTGGTTAGTACTTCAGGGCATGTTGCACCAACACATGCTATTATTCTCTGTCGGAAGTGATTCAGATCCCAAATCCGCATCGAGTTTCAATGATTTGATGTACCCACATGCATATTGACAGCTTAATTTCATACTTGATGGAATTCCTGTAATATAAAAAATCTATAACTGAACATTTATTTTAGTAGTTTGATATTTTGACATACATGTACCCGTGAATCGTTTTTGATAACACTTATGTTTGAAAAGTTTCTCGCAGGTTGTAGGTTGGGGAAAGAAGGAGAACAAGATGAGTAGTGAAACCCTTCTGTACAACGATGTTACTCCGGTCCCGTCTTACGAGTGCAATCAGCGAGCTCCTTCTGTTTTCCCAATGTTCGACAAGTTCTGTGCTATCAAAAACAGTTCAGGTGATTTAAGATTAACACATTTTTAGGTAAAAGGCTCTCAAATAAACACTAATTCTGCACATTCACAACTGCCTGTTTAAATCATGGTGGAATTTCGACTGAATGGATGGATTTAGAGGGATGGCGGATAACTGAGAACAAGTTCAGCAAGATTTCAGGAGCGGCAACTCAAATTCTATGATTCAAACACAACCCGTAGCTAGTCCTTCAATGATTGTGGCTACAATATGGGAAGCATTTTGACATGACCAGGCAACTAAACAATGGTTACTTTTCAGCATGAAAATTAAGTTTATAATTATCATGCTTCAAACTCTGGATATGTTTCAGAGTTCTCAATTAATCAACCAGGCGATAGTGGTGGGGGAGTTACGGCTGTCTACGAAGGACTTCACTATCTCTTTGGCTTGGTCAGCTTAAAATTTGAAAAGACAACATACTTCTCCAATATCACATGGCCCTTTAACATGATATGGATGGAAGGCGAAGTAAAAAAGCATCACCCAAGCTTTACGTGGGTTGAACATGAATTTTTAGACAATCCTGATCAACCAAGGTAAGTAAAGGTTTTTATTTACTAAATTTGTGATTCATGATACATTCATTATTTTTAAATTGACAGTTTCATAAAGTAAAGATATTCATTCTTCTGAGTCATTTCCCAAAATATTTAGAAAAATGTTGTGCCACAACAGTAATTTTAAAAGATAAACATTATATTATATTAAAATTGAATTCAACGACTGTTGATTAGCGATATAAATAAAAGTAGGTTTTAAAGAGCTTGCGTGATTTTAAAATGATGGATTGTTTATACATTTACAGAGTGTTCAGCTTCCACTAGGAAAAACTTTGCCAGATTATTCAGGAGGTCAAAACAAACAAAAAATTCAAAAACACTTCCTGTACTATCTCGAACTTTTTTTGTCTGTCGTCTGTTTGGGGTTTCAAGATAATCTATACTTATTTAATACGCAAGCAGGTTTTTTGTGACAATTACTCCGAAACAGTAGTTCAGTAAAACCGATTGACATGTTTTTGAAGTCATTGGAAAGAGCGTAACGTGAGGTTGTGCAGGAAAGTTTCTTTTTAGGGAAAAAATTAGAGAGTGAGGCCAAGGGCCCTTTAAAGTTTCGAATTTCTCCATAAGATTAACATGGGAAACAAACATTGTTATGAAACTCCAGCTGTTTTCAGAAATTAAAAGTGAAAAGAAGAATAAATGTGTATTGTAAACAATCAATGTGTAAAAAGCAAACAGAGAGACCTTTTTACACAAAGGTACGGTGAATAGATATGTATATCTTTGACAAATAAATAATTTGATTCGTAGTTTGTTTAGTTATATTACATTAAGGTTTTTTTTAGCTTTTTAGGGACATATACACTACATGCCACTAGTCCATATATAAAGCCCAAAGTACCCATGAACATTTGAGAAAACTAAATTTGACACCCCCATAAACCATATTTTTAAAATGTTCGTCAATGCGAGAAACCTTGCGCAAAGCTACATTATTTCATAAATTGCCTTTTAACGTAATTCCTTTCTAAAGGGAACTTTCCACATACCTAATGTTAAAAGTACGTCAGCTGTACTTATTTGTATGTTATTATTTCAATTTATTACCTTATTAAAATCCGGTATGGTTATTTGTTTGTATTACTGTACTCTGTTTTGCTTATTCCAGCTTAACTTAACCAATCAATCTATACTTATTTAATACGCAAGCAGGATTTTTGTGACAATTACTCCTCTGAAACTACTGAACCGATTGACATGTTTTTGGTGTCATTGGAAAGAGCGTAACGTGAAGTTGTGCAGGAAACTTTCTTTTTAGGGAAATAATGAGAGAGTGAGGCCCTGGGTTCCTTTAAAGTTTTGTATCCATAAGATTAACATGGGAAACAAACATTGTATTGAAACTTCAGCTGTTGTCAGAAATTAAATATTAAAAATCGGTCTCCATGGAAGCATAAGAAAATTCACAATGTTTACATTTGCTTTGACATAAACAACCAGAACGGTCAAATACCTATTTCACAATTTCAGACAGCTGATCCAAAAAAATAAAACAACTATGTAGTAGGTTTATTTAATCTTAAACTTTATGATGGATTATTTATTATAAATCTATTTCAATGATTATGAAACAGATTTTTGCCGTTGTGAACCAAAAATTAAAAGTGAGATGAAGAACATGTGTTAATTGTAAACAGTCAATGTGCAAATTATCTAATGTTGTATTAAAAATGGGTATAGTTTTGGATCTTCATTTCAGAGTTCTGCCAGTTTTTGCCTTACTCTGTTCTGTAGAGTTTAAAGTAGCCTACACCTTATTGTCTACAAATTGGCTAAATAACTTAGGTACGGTACATTATAAAAGCTGACAGCCTTTATACGTTGACTTAAATTGTAAGCTTACCATTTCCCGTCCATGGGCAGTTTGATAGTTAAAAATTAACCCTTTAAACTGGAATGGGACTGTTATGTAAATTGTGAGTATTTCAATTAGTTAATAATCTTTTAGTCGATTATTTTAAAATAATCGGAAATTATGACTCTTATTAGTTTTTAAACAAGTCATTTGATAATAGATAACTCAAGTACTTCTTTGCAATTGCTCGATTTCGAGCAACACGTACACTAGTAGTTGTATTAATACTTATGAAGTCAAACGGGGTGAAGCCCGTGGGTAACAGCATTGACTATTGGATACTGAAGTAGACTTCCCATCTATATGAACCAGCTGTATCCAATTTTATATTAAAAAATAATGTAGTTATGTGAGCCAGTCATAGAATGTGCTAGTGTCTAAAACTCTATTTTTACCTTTTTTTGTTGCTGACCAGGTTGATGGGTCTTAACAGTTGTTATAACTCATCATAAGTCATTCCTTAAGTTTAACTTGTTTAAAAAGATTGTGTATTCGGCAGAATTTAGTAATTTAGATCAGTGCAATCTGTAGGTGGCTCACATCAACTACGACGATTTTGATAAAAAAAAAGCTGGCTACAAATTTAACATGGGGATGGAATGTCTAAGGTAACCGCTAGTGTTAATAGCTCCTTATTTAACTGAAGACTTTAAAATATGTTAAAATATCTATTAGTTACCTTGATAACGGTTGGTCTGTATTTTTCTAATGACTGGTTTAATGCATTTCAAGAAATTCCATATGTTTTGATGTGTTTTTCAGGTTTGTAAAATGTAAAACCATTCTTAATAATAAAACCATTTGATTTTCAAGGCCTAAAAGTTGCATGCTGCCGACAGATTCTGACAACAGGAAGTTTTGTTCCTTGGCAGAACATTGCGACAACTGTGACGCAAGATGCATTATTCCGGCGGGATCACAGGCTACTAGAGTCAGAGTCGTCTGCAACCCAGGCTACAGTCTGAGAGGAGCTGTTGGTGACGTGTACAGTGGAGGAGACGTCGCTACATGTCTGTCAAGAGGCTCCTGGTACCCTCGCATACCGGAGTGTATAAGTATGTTAAATATAATCAACCGTAATATATACTTTTTATGTGATTTAAGGTTTTTATTTTCATCTTGTACATAACCAAATTACAGTTCCAACGGTCTTTTGTAGAAATAAACAAAGGAAACAAATAAGAGTCAAAGGCGTCATAGGTCCTGTAATTACATTGCCCTGCGCACCAACACCTTGAATAGCTGCCACCAGTTTTTCAGGGTGTAGTTTTGCGATCTCGTCACTCTAGTCACCAAGTGGTTGAACCATTGTCACATTATGGATGGTAGTTTCGTAATTAAAGAAACATCTCCTGCAGCAACGGTCATTGCTCTACCCATCCTTGACAGTCATTTGGTGATAGTACATTCAGACTTACCAGGTATATGAACTTCAAGTCTCTGAGTCTATGGGATCTCCCCTCGTGGAAAATATTGTTGACCATTAGGCAGGTTGTTGTGATTTCCTTCTCGCCTTGGGCTGCATTCGTGGACTGGAAGTGTTGCTGTAATGTCATAGGCAGATGAAAGGATAGGTGCTCTACGATCGACAACGGTTCTAGAGCCTGTTACGTGGAGCTAAAGGCTCTTGCCATCTCCCCAGTGAGGCTCATGGGCCTTCTTTGAAGCTGTCCCAAGAACGTTCCTAGGATGGGAAAGCATGTTTCTAATTAATTATGCCATTTATATATTAACAGATTCGCAGAGTTAATTAAGTAATGAAAAACCTTTATTGATCATTATCACAATCCTTTGTTTCAGAGTTGACTGGGAAGAAATACATTGCAGGCGATCCACGGAGTTACAATAAACGTATGTACAATGAAGTTATACAGTATAAGTTCATATAACTTATGCCCCAACGTCTGTGCTAATATTATATAAATTCATATAACTTATGGCACAACGGTTGTGCTTATATTATATAAGTTCATAAAACTTATTCCACAACGTCTGTGCTAGTATACTATATTATGAGTTTATATAACTAATGGAACAAAGTCCAGATTTTGGTTACATTTTATAAATCTAAACAAATTATCATTGTTTACGTCTGTTTTTAGAGGGCAAATGGGACCACAATAATATCACTTACAAGGTGGTAAAGTATCCCTCTAATTTTCCAAGGGATGAGACTGACAAAGCATTCAGAGATGCGTTTAACGTCTGGGCAAGACACACACCCTTGACATTTACTCGTGTAAGAAGGGGACCTGCCGACATAGAAATCAGGTAAATCGTTTTATCAAAATTATTTTAGGTTTTGTTTTTTGTTTGGGTTTATTATTTACATCTGTTAAAAATTATATTTTGATTCTACATTTATAACATAAAATACCCCCGCAGCAGCAAACCTGCAGACTAAGTGAATTTCCATTTACCTGATTGGATGTTTGATTAAATCTATTTAAGTAACATTAGGTTAAACAAGTACCTAGGTTTGCTGCTACCGGGAGGGTAATAACGTGCGTTTTTTAGTAAAATATGAATAGCTTAGTATAAAATAAATAAATTTGCCAAGTTTGATCAAAATATATCAATAAACCAGCAAGCTATGAAAGTTAACTTATTCTCCCAAAGAATAAAATAGGTAGTAATTTTAAATTTACAGTTTATTGAATTTTCTCTATTAATAATCGTACAAAAACACTTCAATATACTAAATTATTTGTTTCTTTAAGTTCTTAAAAGAATTCTAAAGAGAAATTGGAAAATGTTATGTTTTAAAGGGCAAAAGTGAGAAAAACCTATTTTTACCCCATAATACCCCGTTCCTATAGTCCGATCATACTGGTTCGCGAACACATTCAAGTTTATCCCACCAAAAATTACTCAAGTGATCGCGTTCACGGGCGTGTATATATACATACATATATATATATATATACATCTAAACCAATTTTTTTGCCTCTAGGGACATCAAAATGAAAAAAAGTATATCGGTCCCGGGTCTAGGTCTTACCTTGCCACCCACGGTAATTGCTACTTCGCTAATATATTATTTACTTACTTTCTTCGTTACCCATATGTGTATTTACTGCAATATGGTTGTTTTGGAGATTACACCATCGTCGGGTAAATAGTCTGACACTAAGCAAAATCGTCGCATTTACATTTTTCACGGAAGATTTATTAATTTTCATTGCCTCAACGGTTGGTAAATAATCTATATACAGCACAAGATACGGTAAGAAAACATTGAATTACGTGCACCGCTTGATAACTGGCAATAGACATATAGACTAGAGTAGGTGGATGACTAGAACATCTGATAACACGTGTAGTAACTTAACTGCTCAATTACTGCTTGTCATGTTTAATTTGTATTATCTTTTCAAAAAATCTATTGGCTGCTGAATTTGTCTAGGGGTTAATGACCTAGTAGGGGTCTTTGGCTGTAATGGTACAGGTGTACAGGCGTTTAAATATTCAAAATTCAAATTCAAAATTCAAATTCAAATTCAAATTCAAAATTCAAATTTATTTATTTGTGATAATACAAAATCTGGCCTCGCCAAGTTTGCAAAACTTGTCGGCGAGGTCCAATTGATTCACAAAAATGTAACAAACAAAATTTACATTTTTTTTTCTTTTTCTTTTTACAAATATAAATATTCTAGCGCTACTAATTCCATGGCGGTTTGTGGCAGGCACCTATCTAAGCTACATAATAATGGCAGCAGAAATGTAAAATTCTAACATGGTTTGAAAAAAAAATTGCTGATTTATAATCAATGCTTCATTCCGAAGTCTTTGTTCTCCTGGTTCATAGACCAGGGGTTTCTAAATATTGAAGAGGCAGTGTCTACTGGAGAAAAAAAAAGTATTCGTTTGTTTGTCGTTTGTTTCTTGTTTCCTGAAAATTTGATGAATTGAGACATAACCTCTCACTAAGAAAAGTTATGCCCATGCAGGCATTTATTTATACAAAGCGGAGAAAAAAATAAAAAACTAATATGTTTGAGAAGCTTTCTTTGATATTTTCTTCCCTAATAGATGTCTTTTGTACTGTGTTTCTGATGTGGTGGGTTTTGTGTGTGTTTGTAAAAATTGTATTTAACAGTGGCTGTAATTGTGTGCCCTAGCAAAGTTTTAACCTAATTTTGTGAAGTGTCTTATTTATTTATGTGATATGTGTGTGTTTTGTGTCCTATCCGATGTAGTTAGATGCCAGCTTGGCCTAGTCGTTTTTATTTTGCCTGGAACATAATATTTAGGCTGGGTGAACCTAAGGTAAGTTTACTTCACTGCTTGAGAGCCATTCAAATACTGCTATCTTATAGGCTTTTTTGTTCTGTATATTTTCTATAGTTGTTGGTAGCCTATTAAACAGGTATGGGACCAGATACTCTGCCAGTCTTTGCCCATACATAGTATTAGGTATTGGTGTTATGTATTTGATAACATTTCTAGTTTGTACTGGTCTTCGAGATTTGATTTTATATACACTATTTCCATCGTTTTTAATTAACACATTATAAGTGAAGATTCCCTTTGGTGTAAGTAATTTATATAGGCCTATGCAATATTTAGTGCATAAACAATAAAGTTTTTGATCTTTGCCACTAATACGAAGTATTTATAAACTGTTTATCTCTGAATAACCATGGCATTACTGCTGAATATGTTCGGCATTATTTGAGATAGGATTGGGTTCCTTTATAGCGTTTTCGTTTTGTATCTAGTCTTAAAACATCTACTATTCCATCCAATTTAATTCGAATAGAATTCTCCCTGCTTCAACCTATATATAATTGACTTTTCTTATATTGGTGTAGTATTCCTTTGTCGTGACGCTGACAGCTTATACGTTTGAAGGTTGTTGATAGTTCTGTATGCAACTGAATAGTTGTGCCTACTAAAGGCCGAGTTGCTAGATCTTGGTTGGGTTGACAGACCTCTAATGTCACGTATCAGTTTTATCATTTTTTGGGGGGGATTTTTATTTTTTGCATTCCTTTTAATTCTCATGTGTAGCTTATCAATCATGTCAGGGCCGAAACCGTTATTCAGAGAATATATTTTATCGTGCTTAGTTAATTTCTATAATTTGCTTCGCTTTGAGGAGCATACGCTGTACAATACTGCTGTCAGTTAGAATACTTTAAGATAATCTCAAACCAATAAAAATCCTTAAATGTTAAACAATCAGTTCGAAGGGCGACTTCAGTCTAAGATAAGAAAGTTTCCATCCACCATGTTTTTCACAGTGAATCAGAATTCGATTCTTCTAGGATTACACGTCACACAGTGTTCATATATGTTCCTGTTTCATGAGGAGACAATAAAAATAAACTTTCGAAATGAAGACTTTGTTCAAGGAATAGGGCCACCTTTTGATATCTCGGTTTCTGTTTGGAATTCAGAGCGCAAAAAGCTCTGTTATTTGCATTATTAACTATTGCAAATTATTACAAAATATTATGATAATGCAATGTAGACGAGGCTCACCAAAAGATAAAATAATATATTTACAGAATGATCAACCATAGCTATCTTAAATTAGGTCAACATTGAAAGATTTAGCTGTTTAAAACCAAACCAAGCCAAAAAAATCTGTACATGATTTTGGAGTGAAGTAACGATTATAAAAGGAAAGATATTAATACCAAATACTACAATTTTGCATTAAAAACATAAGCAATATATTTAAGCAACAAAAAGTAATATATTACATAAGTTAATTGTATTAATTACAGTCTATTAAATATAAATAAAAGACAAGTTATAGCAATAATCACTAGTTTCACACCTAGTATTTAAAATCCAATGTCTGCCTGTTTGTCCTTTATACCCACCATCTGTTTGCCACAAACATTTTAATAGTTGTTCTATATGTTTCTTAAAAAGGAGTTTGTAAAATTAAAACTTGGGAAACTCCATTGATTTTGTTTTCAAAGATCCAATGTAAATACAAAAGTTTTTTACTGGTTTTTTAATGTTAAAACATGCTATATACATTAAAACTTCAAAAACTAATGTTGTAATCCTTTAGTTCATTAAGATTGACTATCTTAATATCTGAATTTGTCATTTTTATAGAACAACAAAGTAAATAATTAACAATTAAAATAAAATAGATTGTTTTGCCACACTAACAAACTTTTATGACTTTTGGAATTTGTAAATTTCACCTTTTTTATTCAACCAAATGTAAAAATATAATTTAATATATACAGATTAATGAAAACATAATAAATCAAATATAAGATTTGTCATAAAATAAGATTTGTATTGTACACCAAACGAATAAATCAAATGATATTACTAATAAATTTGTAAAATTTATATTTAGACATGATATGGTTTTCGTAAATAACTATTTACCTCCTTTTTATAGTCTTTATTTAATTTCAGACGCACCTATTGAGTTTTTATAACTATACATAGAATGACAATCTGCATTTTATGTGGGTACACTTAACTATATATTATATTTTATTGATGTTTGCTTGACTAATGTAATAGCTATTGTCAATGATTATAGTTTTCAAGAGCTTTAATTGTGTTATTATTACCAGGTTTCAAGGTCAGGGCCGATATGGAGCCAATGGTGAAATTGCATTTGAAGGACCAGGTGGACTGTTGTCGGCGACCCACCCCCCAGCGATGGGAGGCGATATGTATTTTGATGACGATGAACATTGGACATCCAATTCTCCTACAGGTAATATTTTTGTCTAACCTCATCATAATGAGCTTTTTTGAATGTTTCCATTTACCTGGCTCGATATCTGCTTAAATATCCCCTTAAAATGCCATATTTGATTCCCTACTAGGTTTGCTGCTACAGGAAAGGCAGTGAAGTTTTTTAAGTAAAGTTTGAATGGCTAAGAATGAAATAAACTAATTTACCGAATATGATCAAAATATATGCATAAACAAGGAAACTTAAATAGTTTAGTTACTCTCCTAAAGAATAAAGTGGCAAATTTTAAATCAACATATTTTTTATTTAATCCGTAACCATTAATTGTTAAAAAATACTTCAAATAACTAAATTACTTGTAGTTTTGAGCTCTACAAAACAGTTTAGTGTCAAATAAAAAAAAAAGCTTTGAACAAAGTTTTGAGGGGAAAAAAGACAAGAAACCAGTTTTTACCCCATAAAACTGCTCATTCAACCCCACGCCCACAGCCCGATTATGCCAGTTCTTATACTCGTTCGAATAAATGTAGATTTAATTGTTTGTACAAAATTTAATCGAAATCGGATCATCTTTACTTGAATCATCATACCTACAGACACAGACAAACACACCTAATTTGAATCTGAACAGATGGCGTTTTTGGCCTCTGAGGACATCGAAACAGAAAAGTAAATCAGCCCAGGGTCTACGGTAATAGCTTATTCCCTATTGGGAAATTCTCTGATTAAGTACAAGTAATATTTAAATACGTAAACCATAATCTCATCACTCAAATTACCGGCAAAAATGTATTAGAATCAATATCAGTCATAAATAAAATATTGGATTAGTCGGTCTAGTAGATTTTTGGATGCTTCATACACACTGGATTAACACGAATTATGTATGTGTGGATATGTATAATATTATGAAAAAGAACCATTTAGTAGTTAAAGTTGTTCTTGAAATATGGTCATGCGTAGAAGCAATATTAAACTAAAGAGAAACTGGAATATCTGGCCTGTCTGAATGATATTTGTCTATCGACCCATATGATTTTCTACAGGATTCCTTAATAAATATTGGGGAGGAATAAGCTGTGGTTGGATAGGAAATGAGCAGTAGTGAGTTCAGTGTTATAAAATACTGGGCTATCTAACATCTGAGCTGGTGTAGTAGCTGGGCATTGTTGGGAGTCCGTCCTTTAACGAGAGGAGTGTAGCTCTTATCTTCAACTAACCCATGAGTAGATAACACCATATTACTTGCTCTATAATGATACGTACATGCAAGTTTCGCGATTTGGCATGAAAAAGGATGAACAAGTTATTGCCGACTTCTTTACATCTTCAGATACTTTAAAACTACTAAGAATATTAATTTATAATTATTAAATTTAGTTTTACATAAAAAAATCTACAACTCTCTTATTCTTGGTGCAAATCTTGAACTTTAATTGAAACTTTTAAGACATTTTTTTATGTAAATACAGTAATTCATTATGTTTTTGACGTAGCTAATACATTTTATGTTAATTTTGCTGAATAAACGACTTATGACTTATGACTTAAGCTACTTGTTAGTATTTACGTCTACAGCTACCTCAAGTATTTTGTTTATTTTATACGCACTGGGATCAATGTTAAGTTTTAAGACTGGTCCTAACCATTTTTCTTAATGTATCAATATTTGTACTCAGGTAACTCAGATAAAAATAACTTCCTCCTTCAAAAGTCATTTTAACATACATTATTATAACGTTATAACATTATAAAAGTATTTATTAACAAAATTTAACATTTCTCCACTCTTACAAATCCTACTTCCGGTTCTACTAATTTAATGGTACGTTATGAATTTAATGATATTTTATATTTTAAATCCAAATCGTGAGCCCCTAAAATAAAAAACAATCATTTCACTGTTACAAAATAACTCAAAACTAATGTACTCTTTCTTTGGTGATCAGAAAGAAACAGGGACGGTTTGTGCATGAAGTGCTTTTATATAGGTGGTCAGTAGGCATCTCCAATGTCTTAGAACATTCTGGCCAATCAGAAGACACCTACCCCACAGGTTTCATGAAAATCCTGTACAAACTGAAATTCAGACGGTAACGGTAATTTTTTTTGCATTTGATTTTTTTATTTAGTTCTGAATATTTTACCATTAGTTGTTTTTATCATTGAATAAAAAAAATACTATAATGACATTCTAGTACGGTTCAAAATTATCCAAGTATCAGTCAAAATTTATTTAATGTATGGAAAAACTGCCAAATTTAAATGCACTACCAAAAAAATAATTAATTACGTATGTTGCACATAGGGGTTAACCTTTTCACATCGGCAGCTCATGAAATTGGAGTCGCTCTGGGTCTCGATCACTCATCAGTCAAGGGAGCTGTCATGTATCCCGTATTACAAGACTACCGACCAGATTTGGACCTGCACAGGGACGATATCAGAAGCATCCAGGTAACATTACTCTTACAGCAACGGGATCAAGCAACATTTTAAAGTTTCGGACCCAATCCTTAACACTAATCTCCCACAAACAGATTATTTTGCATTTGGATGCTTTACTGCTTTCAAAAAAAATCACTCATATTACTAGCTATCTTAATTCTTCTTGTAGCACATTTCTCCCATAGTCCAATAGTTTTACTTGCAGCAACGTTTTGTACTGCTTATTTGTAAGTAAGTATTCTATGTAACAATACTCTTATACAGTAAAAAGACGTTTTAATTTTGAAATTTGAAAACAAAGTTTTAATTTTGTATAAAAAATAACACATATGAAGATTGAATTTCACCACTGTATTGCATGAACATTCCTGTAAAACTGTATGGGATCAAACATTACGTTATCTAAATAAATATAAACTAAATATTTTATAAATATAATAATAAATAAATATTTTAAAAACTTGATCGCGAAAAGCATAACTGTATAATTATATAAGTTGGTTAAACTTCTGAGTGACAGTCCTGTATTGTACTGCACAATACTTATACACGCAGATACAAGATATATTAGTAATATACTTTGAAGCTATGAATATAGTAACGAATAGGCATTAATGCACGTTTATGTTCCAGAGACTCTACCCGAGAAAAGAAGAAAATACCCCCGCCGCAGCAAACCTGCAGACTAAGCAAATTTCCATTTGACTGATTGGATTTACACTGAAATGTCTACTTAAAAATATAACATTTATTCCCTATTTAAATATAATTATTTTAACAAGTACTTAGGTTTGTACTTAGGTTTGCTGCATCAGGGAGGGTAAAACTGTTTTTTTTTGTAAAATTTTAATAGTTAGTAAGAAATAAAAACATTTTCCAAATTTGATCAAAATATGTTCATAAACAAGCAAACTACAACAGTTTACTTATTCTCCATAAGAATAACATGGGAATTTTAAATTTACTATTTTTTGGAATTTTCTCCGTAACCATTAGGCGCATAATAACGCTTCAATATACTAAATTATTTGTTTTTTTAAGCTCTACAAAATGGTTTGGAAAGAAATTGCTAAATTTTATGTTTTTTGGGTCAAAAATGGGAAAAACCTATTTTTACCCCATAAAACCCCCCGTAAACCCCCGTTCTCATGGTCCGATCATGCTGGATCGCGAACTCGTTCGAATAAACGTAGGTTTACACGTTTGTACCAAATTTCATCAAAATCGGATCATTTTTGCTCGAGTTATCGTGCTGACGGACACATATATATATATATATATATATAAATATATAAATATATAAATATATATATATATATATATATATGAATTTGAACGGATGGTGTTTTTGGCCTCTAGGGACCTCAAAACTAAAAAAAAAATCGGTCCCGCGTCCAGGTCTTACCATGAGTACTACGGTAATAGCTTATTCCCTATATGGGAAATTCGCTAAAAGATAGGCTTTAGCTCATTACCTACAAAATACGAAGCGGCAGAATTTTATCAACACCAATGTATTATTTTTTTAGCTAATACCAAATAAATAAGTCAATCATGTTTGTTAATTGCTTATGGATTTATTTTCTCAATAACCACATCTCCAAAATGTGAGTTGTATAAAACCGAGCAATAAATGTACTGAATTACGAAATTAACTGCTACATTTAGTCAAATAACTAATTTATACACCAACAACTCAGACCTACTGTTATAAAGTCAAAAGCAATCCAAAAAACTAAGTTTTACAATAAAACAATTATTTCATATTTGCTTTGTTTTATTATCTGCCTTTATGGACCGAAACATAAAAGAAACGTAGACTAAATGTTGATGTTTAATTAGTTTACACTTTCACTTGTACTTAGTATGGTTGGATCATTACCATAAAATATGCATTGAAGTCAAGGTTGGAGGGAAGGTCATTTATAGCAATAAGAAACAGGAGAGGCCCAATACAGAGCCTTGAGGGAATCCATAGTTTGAGGTCAGGACAGAAAACAATGTATTGCAAATTGTAAGGGGTGGATTTAAACCGTTAATGTAGGGATAACTTACAAAACATGGAATGAAATAAGTTTTTGAAAGTTGTAAGGTGTTAATTCCGAGGGGGGTAAAAACTGCACCTTATAAGCCTCGGATCTGCTACAAGTTGGGTGTGTCCAGGGTTTAATTGAATGAACGAAGTGAATTCTCATACTGGGGTGAAATGCATCTTTATGTTGATCGAAATCTCGAGAATGCCTAAAGTTATAAACTTGATGTGTTGCACAAAGATTCTATACCACTTTATCTTGCGACCATTAGTTGTTGAAAAATATTTGTTCCGTAATTATTATAAAATCTTAAAAAAACATTTTTAATTTTGTCCCATAAGATTAACATTATGAGCTACCTTCTTCTTCTTTTTATTTGTTTACATTTTACGACCTACAATTTTGTCGTTTATTTGAGACAAAGAGAACGACTACTCTTTCATCCATAGAGTAACAGTCAAACCGTATTCACATTATAACTCTACAATTTCTAGGATAATAATTTTACGAAAATACTGAGGAGTTAACAAATTATCTACTAAAATGTATCGCAATTGATTGAAAAATAAATATTTACATGTTTATTCTACAAGCTACGTTTCTTCAGTAGGCAATGCTATATAATAAGTACGACGCGACGGTAAACGATGCCGTGGGTGAAAGTCTACTAACTTATTGTTTCCTAACTTGCTAAAAGTTAAGTGTTATCGTTGACTAATTAATATTAGATAAGATTCCACTATCTAATAATCAGTGGTTTTAGTTATTTTCGTTCTGGTTGTTCTAAATTAAATTACAGTTCTCGCGTCGGTGGCTTTATCTATTCAGTCAGTCATTCAAATGTTGCCCCAAAATATTTAGATAAGTTACTGTACTTTCATATTACTGTATAGTGATATAACATAAGACTTTTTAACATAAGACTAACTAAGACTTTTTTTTATCAAATAAGGTTTTTTTCATTTAATATATCTTTTTTTCATCGGTCGTCTGCAGTTCACTCGCTAACTAAGACAGAATCAGAAATGCTGCCTTAAGTTAAGTTTAGTCTTAGAACATACTCCTCAAGGTTTAGTGCATTCTGCTAATTGATAATAAGACGGCAACCTAAGTAGGTTTCAAAAGTTTGTGAATAAAATCCTATCCATTTAAATTACGTAGGTAAGTAATGCAATCAAACTGCATTTTAGATTCAACTCAAACCTCATTCATTAAGTTAAGGTTAACCTAAAACAAGTAGACTCAGTTCTGATGAAGAGTGGATGAAACTCAGCCAATGGACACAAGAATAGGCAATAGGAAGGAGCTTTCCCGACTTTGGTCTGAATAAGTGACAAATTTTAGTGAGTTTAATATTGAACTCTCAGTCGACTATGTGTAAACTGAGCTTATGGACCCTTCATCAAGTATTGAACACTAAATACTGTAGGTCAATAAGTGGGAACCTACTGCTTCAAAGAGCTAACTTAGCCCACATAAAATAATGCTGCTAAGGGCCCATAACAAAAGGACTACGCAGATAACCAAGAAGTGAAGATCAAGACGTACGGTACGAGCAGACATGAAATTGGGCTCACAGGTCTTCATCGATTGTACCAAGGCAGTGGAAGAATGGTGAGACAGACAATCAGAATGCTGAGGTAGATAATCTTAACTTCAAAATATAGCCTAAACAGTATAAACTTTTGAAGGAAGGCGGTGAAGCGAGGATGTGCTGTGTCATGTAACGTTGTTTTGTGTAAAGTGTGTCTGTTACATTAATTGCCTAGACGGCCGTGTTGCCTAGCCTAGGTATGGCCTGTCAAGTTTTTTGTTAAAAATCTGTGTCTAATGATGTCACAGTACTATGTTTATTTGTTCATACAACAATCTGTGTTTAATGTGTTTTTCACCGTCAAAGAATGTAGGCCTACGGTAGAAAGTTTAAACTAAGAAAGGTAGGCCTTAATATAACCCTAACTTACCTAAATAGACCTAAAAAAGTAATGTATCCTATAACTTTCTCTTAGCTACTATATATCTGTGTCCTTATAGTAGGCCTACTTAGATTAAGTTACCCATCTTAAGGGAACAGTTTCGCAGAGAACCTAGCCTACGATAATTTATCAGATGAAATATTTTTGTTTAACTTAATATACCCTATATGCGAGTAATCGGTTCACTTTTAGGCGATACAACTTACCGTACCTATTTATCATGTAGGCCAAGGCCTATTTCAATATTGAACAATTTATGCCTAAGATCTTTTTTTAAGGAGACTCTTTACACTGTGTAGCCTACTTTTTAGTTTATAATAGGCCTAATAACAAAGGTAACATTTCTAAAAATCAACATGAATCTTTTGTGTATGATTTGTTAAAGAGATAAATTTTTAAATACATAAGTTAGGCTACGGTAAGTTAACTTTGATCTTTTTCATGAGTTTATAAAATTGTAGGCTATTTTCCTTACCTATGTTACCTACTGGGTAAGTTACAGTTCCGCAGAGAACCAACAATAACTTAATTATTTTATCAGATATCAGATTAATAACTACTTATCGGTTTGATTTTAACTTAACTTAATATCGTAGGCCTAGGCCTATTGAATGTTCATCATACATTTACCATAGGCTATGATAAGTTATAAATAAAAAAAATAACGTTTAAAAAATCCCACTTCCCAGAGCCATAGGTACACCTACCGAGGTAACCAAACATTAAAGAAGCATTTTATTGTTTTATCCTTGGTTGTTTTGTTATTAGGTAGGCCTAGGCCTATTTGTTTTGTTTCTTTTGGGTACACTTCCATATCTGTTGGCACAAACAACCGAATGAGTAATATCGATCGATAGGTATATCGAATTAAACAATCGAATAATTAATATTACTCATTCGGTTGTTTGTGCCAAAGATATGAAACTGTACCCTTTCCTTTTAATAGGCCTAACTTATTATTTATTATTGGTCAAATTGTAAGTTAGTCCTAGACAGTAGCCTAATTTCTTAAATAGGTATGAACAAAAACCGTACCAACCATAAATCAATTTGATGTTTAGCGACATACATTGGAAAAAAAGATTTTTTTTTATTGAAAAATTGAATCGGATAAATATTGATATGCATTGTTAAGATTAAATGTATTTAACTTACTCATCCGATAAAATATTTTGCAATTATTTAGTATGTCTACATTGAGAAATGATGTAATTTTTAGATGTTTCCTTACAGTATTTTTCACGCTGATTCCAAAAATGCAATCCGTTTTTGTCGGAAAGATTCCTAAGTGGATGTAAAACGAAGGCTAAAATTACGAATCTAAGGTTCATTTCGCGGTTCGGATGGTAATATGGCGTGGTCTGGACGGGTCCGAATGTGGGCTGAGGACTGTGTGAACAAAGCAAACAGCTGTTTATACTTGACTCAATGCGGAATTAAATCAAATTGTTTTGAAACTAAATAATCAGCTCTTAGTTAGGCATGTGGGGAAGGTAGGTTGGGTTTTATGTGAATTTGTGACTGTCCCTAAGTGTTTTGAAGTTAGGTTCGATTAGGAAGGTAAAGTTAAGGTTATAACGAACCGACTCATTAATTTATGCTACCTCCAGACTGTCTTTGCACAATTGAAATAGTGGTTGAAACACAATGAAATAACAATATAAAAAATGCTTGCAAATAAAACAAATTGAAATATTTATCTTGTTATTTTTACCTTAAATTCAATTTCCATAGGTAGGCCTACAGTACTTGATTTGTTTCTATATACAGGCTTCTATTCTTCTGGTAACATGGTCCTACAGGTTAAAATACTTAAATAATAACATTGTTATGCATTTTAAATAGTAACATTGTTTTGCATGTTCCCTTAAGAAGGAGTTCCAGATTACTTATAAAGAAAATGATTTTTATAAAATAAAAAAGAATATAAGAGATGTTTTAACATTAAAACCTAATGAACTATGCATTAAAAATTCAATAAAAATTTTAAAGTGAAAAAACTGTTAGTAAAAGTTTTGAACTTGCCCGACCGGGATTTGAACCAGGGACTCTAGCATTGAACTCCGATCACTTAGCCACGGCCACTTCTAATCATGTAATGTAACGAAAGCCATTACGAATACGAGAATCTAGGTCTCGTAATTGTAAGAACATTTCCCAAAAATTTTCTTGCTCGGTAGAACTTTTACCAAACGAAATTCGACTGACTACAACAGTTCCTACAGATTTAATCATTTATTGATCTCATAGGCCTATCTATCAATGAAGTGAAAAATTGGAATATTTTAAAGAAAATGTCAAGAGGGGTTCACCAGTTAATTAATAATAAAAAAAGTAAGCCATAGATAAGTTAGGCCTACTCACAATGTTATCGTAGGCTAACTTAAGTACTTTAATACTTTTTTTTCATGGTCCTTTACTTATGCTAAAACAAATGGTTGGCAACCATATGACACAAAAACAACATTGATTGTGAAAGGCCTACAATAAACAACACTCTACAAACCAAACAAATTAAAACTATTTTTTTTACTCATGCGTTAATTTAGTTAAAGTTTTTTCATTTTCTCTGTCAATGGTTACTATCTTTTTTAGGCTTGGATTTTATGAGAATAAAGTGTGGATAACATAAAATGTTAGTTTGTCTCTTGAAACACAAATTTTACCAATTTCATATTCCATATCTGATCAGATCTGGATGCCAGATACGATCAGATCTGTGAT